CTAGAAGCTGCCAACGTTCCTTGGCTCTTGGCCACCAAGCAAGGGGTCACATCACTCATACCTTTGCTTTCGTAGTCACACCCCCTTCTCTGACTCTCCTGTCCCCCCTTGTCCTCATGAGGACCTTGGTGACCACCTTGAGCCCACCCACATTCATGGAAGTCACCTCTGCATCGTCTCTTTGCTGTGTGGGTTACTTACCTATTGTTGCTACAACAAGTTACTGTAAGCTTAGCGACTTGATAACAACACAAATTTATAGTCTTACAGTTCTGGAGGTTCAAAGTTCAAAAACCAGGTTCCCTCGACTAAAAAGCGAGATATTGGCAGGCCTGCATTCCTGATGGAGATTTTAGTGGAGAACCTGCTTCCTTGATTTTTCTGGTTTCCAGAGGCCATCTGCATTCCTTGACTCAAAGCCACGCTCCATCTGTCTTCAGGCCAACAGCATAGCATCTTGAAATGTCTTTCTCCAGTGACCACTCTGCTTCTGTCCTAACATTTCCCTTTTTCCCTGTGACCCTCCTGCCTCTCTCTTATACCTCCTCCTTGGGGCTACATTAGGCCCATCTAGATAACATGGGATAATCAGCCCATGGCATGATCTTTAGCTTAGTTATTTCTCCAGAGTCCCTCCTGCCATATCAAGTGGCATATTCTTAGGTTTCAGGGATTAGAATGTAGACTACTTCTAGGGGTAGTTATTTTGCCAACCACACCATTAGGCCCAAATGCTCTCTTAAACTTACATTTAGATGTTCTAACCACTCATTAAACATTTACTTCTAGTTTCCTTGCCTGAGTCTCTAAATCTATTCTTATTACAACCTCTCCCAACCCCAGAGAGTTTCCTTTTCCTGCTTTGCCTGTTTCTTCTCTTTATTCCAACTCCAAAACCCTAAGAGTTAGTCTTTGTTATTTAGTCAAAGATCTTTATTTTCTTCATTTTCTGGGGATATGTTTGAGACAAATGGTGGAGGAAGACTATTAATATATGTATTCAGTTACATCTTATTTTAATAGTTAGGCCATATCATTGTCCTTTTAATTTAAAATTATTCATACTGTAATGTTGAGATATAAAGAGAAAGGGACTATTCGAAAACTCTTTAAAATTGTTTTCTATACTGTAAGATATATATTTTCTGTACAATTTTAGGAGGAGCACATATGCAATTTTGCATGTAAGCACATTGTAATTCAAGCGATATTAGTATGCCAGTCTGAGACAGCTCTCTAAGTTTGCCTGATTATAATAACTCATTAAAAGAAGAATGCAGAGATCATAAGTCCTACAAAACATTTGTTTTTCAATATGTATGAGGGCTTAGGGGCTTCTGCTCAATGGTTTAGCCCATGGAGATAAGGGTTCCATAAATGTTAAGATTTTTCTTCTTCTTTCTTTGGTGGGGATCTTATACTACTTCTCTCTGGGATACTGACTCATCTTCACTTATCTGAAGGGCCAGTACCAGAATCAGTCAGGAGTCCGTTTGCATATTTGAAGAGTCTGAGAGTGAGGTGAGGGGATTATCTTGATGGAAATGAAGGAGAAGGATAGTTATCCCTAGGAAAGGAAGTCAGTGAAAATGGGGGTTTCCTCTAGATCCAAGGTAAGGGGCAATTTTAAATGCATGGGAGAGTCTGTTATTCAATTTCAGCAACCCTGTGTTAGTTCAGCTTCTCTGAGAAGCACACACACACCAAGATGGGATTAAAGGGTCAGATTTAAAAAAAAAAAAAGAATATATATATATATATATATATATATATATATATATATATATATTGGGGAAGTGTATCTGTGAAGGATCAAGGGAGAAGGAGCAGAGATGAACAGAGAGAACCTCAGACCAATGAAGGTGCCAAGTCTGTGAGCAAAGAGAGGGGAGGAAAACTTGAATAGGAAGAATGTCAGGCTGCAACAACACCATTCTGAAAATGCTGGGTCTGCGATGATGGGAAGTCTCCAAGCCAAAGTTGCCCATTAGAGGAATCCATCCCGGGCCGGAGTGAGCCAGCGTTAGCACCTCTGTCCAATTCAGTTAATGAAGAGCAGCCCGGGGAGCACAGCTACAGTGCCCAAGGGGCAGCAGGTAGAGGCCATGGGTCAGCTGTGGTCTGTTCAGTAGGTTCTCTTGAAGTGACACCCAACTAAGTAGGACACCTCCATGTCCACCACAGTGCACACCTTAATTCATACATACTCACTTCATGTTCATTTGGGGAGCAGCTTTAAAATAATTTTAATCTTAAATTTTTTCCTTTACTTCTCCTAATAGTCAATTAGTTACTCTGTCATATAGGCAAAGCCAATGCAGTATCTCTATAACAATATCATAATAGCATTTTACGTATTAACGATATTAACTTTAGGGTTAAAAGAGAGATTATGGAGTCATACAAATATTATTTTGGGTTAAAAATTTTTAATCAAAATTACATTTTTGATATTTATTCCAAGTGTCACATGGAGTTATTGTTCATACATTCTCATTGCCATATAGTATTCTCTTGCATGAATTTACTAGATCTTAGGTTTCCTGATTCTGAATTGGAGGTCTTTCTATCAGCCATTCTCATTTTAGTATAACTGGTATAATAACATTGACTTCTTATTCCTAATGGACAGCTAAGGTCTTCTATATTTGGGCGCAATGGAAATCTGGCTGGATAAAGGGAGAAAGACAACCTTGTTAATTTCATGTGCAGAACACTCTGGAAAATAAAGCAACCGGAGGTTGCAGAGATTGGGAAGACCATCAGGAAGACTCCAAAGGGCTATTACTACAACAGCTGCCAGTTTTAACAACTGCAAAACAAATTCAACCTACCTTACTAGCCTTATTTTCCGCAATGGTTTATTCAGTATTATTATAAGGGAAAAGCATCATCAGATCTTGCATGAGGCTAACTGCAGACCGAATGTTTGAGATGCATTTTTTTCTATACAATCTGACTAACAACGTTAGATTTCATAACCTATCACGTGACTGATTGGAATTTCATGAAACACTCTCTGCCGATATGATAGCATGATTTAAAGATCAGTTTGAAGTGAAAAATCAATGTTTCTGAATGCCTGTACAATTGGCAGAAAGCTTGCTAATCTTTGGAAACATCGAGATTTTGCATTTGCATTCAGAGTGGGAGTTAGTCATCATGTTTCATTTCCACCAGGAACTTAGTGTGCTCTTTCCTTTGCAGGCCTTCCCCATGTCTTACACCTGGAGTGCTTTGCTCGTCAGAGTGTTCTGTCCTTTAAGGCCTGTTCTTCTGTCATGAAAGAATGTCACCAGTCCTTCCTCTAAAACCCATGCCAACTCTCACTCGGTCCTTACACACGATCTCATTGTTATTTGCATATTGCTTTGCTGTTCCCTTTACCAAATGGAAAGACCTTTCACAATTGTAATTATGCCTTAAATCTATTTGAATTTGTCATGCAATAAATTAGTTTTGATTCCATATGTTTTCCAGAAGTTCTTTTAGAAAAGCATCACAGTAACGAATCAATGCAATAAGATTAATACAATTGTAAAAGAAAATGGGGCTAAGGAAAGAAGGGAGCCAATAAGCCAACCATGATAGCTATGCTTAAATATCAACTTGGCTCTGAACAACCTGGGCATCTAGAATAAAGGAGCATAATATTATTTAGCCCTCATTATCATAAAAGAGAAGAACGATAGTTCCTTTGCAGAAAGTCGGTTTACCTTGGCCCTGAAGTTCAAGAAAACTCTCATATTGGACTTTACATAGGCGATAGTCAGTGGCATAATTTTATGTTTAACTAACTCAATAAATGTTTATTGAGAACATACTAAATGCCTTGGGATGTTTCATTTTGCTAATTTGAAGGAGAGCAAGGGCAGATGAAATAAAAATTAACATCAATTGTTTACCAAGTAGTGGGAGGACAGGTAAGTAAATAGATTATCACTTGCTGAGTGGTGAGTGCTTTAGTAGAAATAAGCTTAGAGTTGATCTCTGTAGGAACATCCACCCAGAAAAGGAAGGAAGGAAGGAAGGGAAGGAGGAGGGAGGGAACGGAGGAGCGGAGGAGGGGAGAGAAGGAAGGAGGAAGGAAGGAAGGAAGGAAGGAAGGAAGGAAGAAGGAAGGAAGGAAGAAGAAGGAAGGAAGGAAGGAAGATTAAGGAAGATTAAGGAAGGATTAAGGAAGACTTCTCTGAGTAGGTGATTCCCGCTGTTGGAACCAAGCTTTTGAAAACCATTTGGAAGTTATCTAGAAGAACGGTTTAGTGTTGAAAATGGGAGGAAACACAAGAGAGGACAGAGACAGAGGGAGTTGTAGACCCCAGGGGCAATGTGTGCAAAGACCCAGGTGAGAAATTTCCTGGGGTTCTGAGATGCTAAAGCTTTATGCAGGGCTTAGTAAGGCCACATGTAGCCTTCAGGTCCCAAGTATGGCTATCACCAAATCCAAACTTCACAGAACAAATCCATTTATTAAAAGGATTTGTTCTGCAAAGTTTGGATTCAGTCCAAAGGCCACACTCAAGGACCCCAGAAGGTCACATGTGGCCCCACGGCCACAGGTTCCCCACCCCTGGCCACTCAGCCATGAAGGCCTAATGTTCAGTTTAAGCAAATTTGCATTATCCTGAGAGTTAAAAAGTTGTGGAAAGTTTGGTGTCAGGAATTGACACGATAGGTTGGCGAATTTGAAAAATCATAGAAAGGTGCAAGCCGGAGATCCAAATTAAAAGCGAGCAAGACCTGGGCCAGAGAGGCTTGTCAGGAGATGTGACAAGAGGCAACAAATGACAGTAGAACAAGAAGTGTACATTGGTCCCCGTCGTAAAAAAGTGAATAATAAGGAGAGTATGGCTTCATGTGGTTGCTTCTCTTCATGACCTGCACAAAAACAGGCAGCCGTGCTTTGAAGTAAAGGTGATTTCGTATGGTTCTAATATACTATAGATAGAAAACTTTCTTTTAATAATGGAACTTCTTTCTCTCTTCAACAATTTTATTAGAGCTATCATATGCGTGGATCTTCAATGAATATCCAACGTTCGTTGAAGAAGATAGTCGGAGATTTGTCTCTCAAGAGACAGGGCACCTGTATATACTTAAGGTGAGCCGTCGGATGTGGGAAATTACACGTGTGTGTGACCAGTACGGTGACAAACGCCAGAGTCCTGGGCTCGCCACTCCTTTGGTGTGCGTTCTGATGGTACGAAATGTTTCAAAGCGTAATTCGGAGTAGAAACAACGGTGGTGTCACCGTAAGCAAAAACAAACGCCGGGGGGGAAAAAAACTAAAAGTATCTCTCGAAGAGTTAACCACATCATTTTTTTGGGGGGGGGGGGACAAAGATATTTTGTGGCACAATGAGGAAACTGTTCCATAAACTACAGGTCCTTGTTCCTAATCCTTTCCGGCCCCAGCTTCATAATTTGCAGCGATCATTCGAGATGAAAACGAGCAGCTGCTTTGTTCAAAAGTTATTAAGAATTTCAAGATGGTGACAGCAAAGCATTAAACCAGCCACGAGACCCTTCTTGGCCTGGGGCTCAGGTTGCATTCCCACGGAGTCACCTGTCCTAACTTTTGCCAGCTTGAGGTTTTTAAAGCTCTGGATATTTTGTTATAAGCAAAAAGCATCACTAAAAAAAAAAAAAAAAAAAAGCATTAAGGAAAAAATCTGTTTCATCAACACCTTGATGGCTGTTTATGGAGAGTCTGTGAGTTGCAGAGGAAGCAGATTTGTAAGCCCGTGGTTGACCCACTTACTCAAAACCACATCTGATATAGCATAATGCCATGACCACAAAGTATTGAAGTATTTTCCAGGCAGTTATAATTGAATTTGACCTTTCCCATTTATTAAGTCACTCTTTCTTGACTCCAGGGAGCCATTTAATAAGTTTGAGATTGTTATCTGTGCTATCAGAGTACCATTAAGTAAATTCCCTGCCATATTTTTGTTCTTTAGGAAATTTCAGGAAGTCATAATATGTTATATAATTCCATTTGACTAGAATGCCCAAATTGAGTATAGAATTTCAAAAGCCTCCCATTTTATGTAATGTAAAAGGCATAGTGGTTTTCTTGGAACTGCTCTGTAAGTGGTAACTTATGAATCAGCAAATCCAAAATTCTTAAATATTTATTAATGTTGCACGTTTCACCTGAGTTAGCACTAGTGAGTAATTTAAATCACTAGGGGAGCTGGTTCAAAATGAGCAAAAGAAAGTTTTATTTAAGAAAAACGAGTCAATTCCAAAGGAAATGCTGAAACTATTATCTTTGTATTGTGGATTTACAGGTGTGATGGGTGAATATGAACCCAAAATAGAAGTTCAGTTTCCAGAAACTCTTCCAGCAGCTAAAGGTTCAACTGTGAAATTGGAATGTTTTGCCCTTGGAAAGTAAGTTTTATAACATTCAGTCCTATCTGCTGAAATATTAGGTTGCTATAAGAGATGGTGTTTTTTGACAGATTCTTCTCCTTTCTTTATTTTCGGAAATTTACTTTCATTCTGAAACAAAGGAAAAAAATAAAATGCAGTAAAAATGCTTATATAAAATTTAGTTTAAAAGTTTATTTAAAGACAATTGGAGAAAATGACTATGCCTGCTTAATTTAATAAACTAAATTGGTGGGGGATTTTGTTCTTGTTTATTTGTTGTAATCTAATAAAGTGGATATGTATTAGGTATTTTTCCCCTAAATTACGAATGGGCTCAAGAAAAAGGCACAGTTCATTTTGTTAAAATACCAACCTAAAGAATTACATTTTTTTTTCATCAGGTTTATGTAATCAACCACTGCAGGTGATTTTTTAAAAATATGTACCTTTTATTTTCTGCCTTAATAAAAGCTTTATTTTCTCAACTCCAAAAGGCATTCATTGCATGATACCAGCAAACAATTTGACAATTTTCTTATTAGTCCCATACCTCAGATTAATTGGAGAAGGAGTGATGGACTGCCATTTCCCAACAAAATTAAATTAAAGAAGTTCAACGGTGTGCTTGAAATCCCCAACTTCCAACAGGAAGATGCAGGTTCCTACGAATGCATCGCTGAGAATTCAAGAGGGAAAAATGTTGCCAGAGGGCGTCTCACTTACTATGGTGAGCATGTACTTGGGACAGATGGGAGTTTTAGCTCTTGATCTCTCATCTATGCAATGTGGTTGAGGGGTGGGAGATTATAGCAGAATCCCAACGTTCAACTAACTTGTTTGTTACACATTTTGTTAAATGGCGATGAACACTTATCACAGAAGAAATTAAAAAGAGATAACATTTTACAACAAAGGGGATGTATTCTTTTTGCATTTAAAAATGGTTTATATGATACTGAAATATTTCTTTTATTTTCCTAGGAATACATCTTTTCTATCTGTCCTCTCCTCTAGAAAAGATCGTTTTATATCTTTCCTTATTACCATTAGTAAGCAGAAAAAACCGTCTACTGGGAAAAGTTGCAATTACTGTATTACCCAAACAATATAAACCAAGGCTCTTGTTTAGTTCCTCTAAACGAGAAGTTATTCTCTCTCCTCCAATAATGTATCTGTACTCTGTTTGTTGCCTTTAATTTGTAATCACATTTATTTGATGTACTGCTGAACTTGAGCAAAGAAAGAATAATAATGTTACCTTTATTTAGAGTCTATTTATAGGAAAATTAGATTGTCTTTTGTTCAAAATTTGTTTCAAATCCCTTTGATTTAAAAAAAGCTAGGTTTTTGATGAAAACATAGTTTAGAAAAAGTAATATATATATATATTTATATGAAAGAGACCTGTTAAATATAGAGAGATGTAAGCTCAGTGAATATGTATTTGCAATTTAATCATTAGAAATATTGTAATAGTATAAAACAAGTAGGAATCGATCACTTTTGTGAAAGGCAAATTACATTATATTCTATTTATCTAAGAAACTAGAAATTGAAACATTTTGCAATGCGTACTTGTATAGCATGCATACATGTTGCAGGGAAGAAAACATTTGGGAAAACAAATATTAAAATTAAAAGGCTTATTATGACTCCCTCCTGGAAAATTTGAAGTCTGCAGGTACATTACCTCTGACACGATTAATATTTGTTAATGTGTGTGTGTGTGTGTGTGTGTGTGTGTGCAAGATTTTTGGATCTGTCCAGAACAAAATGGAAGCATTGTTTGGCATGTGCCATTTCTGTTTTGTAACTTTCCCATCTTATTACATGATTAATTTGCAATATGCAGCACAGAAGTTACCCAGGTGTCTAGGTCTACAGGTCTACAGGTTCCTGGGATGAGATGGAAATGGGGGTGTGAGCTGTGACTGTACAGATTTAAGGCACCCACAAAGCAAGTAACCTTTTTTAATACCCTGGCTCACTTCCTCTTTTCTGAGCAACCACTGCCTGATCCAGGGTAAGAAGTGACCATTAGAAGGAAACACAGGATAGTCCAGCTGTCTCAATATTTCAGTAGAAATGTTTTTAGCTCTATGTAACAGCAATCCTGCATTAGTAATGAACAATTGTATCCTTCATACGATGAGAAATCCAAAGCCAAACTGTCATTCAAGTACCTTATCATCAAGCCCTGGCTCAGTTTCTCTGTGATTTATTTTTTCCCCTTTATCTACTATTCCCTGTGCTCTTCATGTCAGCTTCCATTATGATCACAGAATGTCTGCCAGCAGTGACCAGCACATTGGTGGTTATTCATCCTTCGTTTCTCCAAAACATCTAGCAATCCCCTTCTTAGATTCTACTGGCTCCACGTTCATTCCTAAACCAATCGCTGTCAAGGCGAAATTGGGTTGCACAGTTTAAGAGCCTTTCATTGGAAAGCTGACTTTCCCTGGATTTTATGGAAAATGTGAGGTGATGGAAGCAAAGATAGCTGAATGAAAAATTGGGGTCATTATAGGACTGGGGAAGAGAGGAAATGAATGCACAACAGAAAACCAACAGCATCTGCTATACTTAGTAAAGGAGGTAGACTATTGCTTTTAGTCCATTATGTAGGTAATGTGATATGTACCTAAGAAATAAAGTAGAAATTAAGGGCATAGAGCATTTCGCAAAAGTTGACTAACAATTCCGGCTTAAGATAAGTGTATTCAATAAATGTTGTGCCGTCCTATGGTTATCTGCTCTAATATTTCATTTAAAAAATGGTCTGATAGAATATTTGGGTCGCATATAATAGAATAAGAGGGGAAATCATGATTAATGTGTCAGTTATAATCTCAGGATTGGGTTAGCCTAGCAAATTATCCTCCTATTTGGAGAAGAAGAATATTAGCATGGGAAGCCTGTGGGAAATTTTGCAGAAGCTCAGATCTCAGTCAAAGGCTCACATGTGAGTCTGTTTACAGTCATATTCCATCTCAGGCTGATTATTCCTGAAAAAAGAAAATATGTTTCAATAGAAAATAGAGAGAAATGATTTGGTACTGAAGTACCCTTCATACTGGGCAAGTAGTTTGTATAGCATAAAACCAAAATAGGATAAAGGTTAGACCTACACGTTTTCTGTAAAAGCTAAATAGCCATACTTTCATTTCAGTGTCATTTATAAAAAGCAATTTTATGAGATAGAAATGGAAAGACAAATCTTCCTGTGGTTGCAATTAAATAGAAATAGATAAACTGTTCCTCCATATGGAGGATGCAAATGTGGATCCCACAGCACACATCACATGCATAATGCAACGTGAAGCCAGTAAGACATCTCACCTCCCAGTTTTGGATCTAAAACGCAAGCTGAGACTTGGCCAGATACGCTGCGTATATTGAGTGACTGTCATTGTAAGTGGTATGATGCTTTCATCTGTAAAAGAATTTTCCAAATCCTTTCTAAAAAGTTCAGTGAAAATGATAAATCCATTTAGTCCAACTGATTTGCATACATATAATTTAAAGTTGCATCAGTTATTTCTTTTTCTGCTAAAAAAAATAATCATGATTCAAGTTGAACCAATTTATCCATCTTTTCCTGCTTTCATTTTAACTTGCTTAGAGGTTCATAAGATGCTAACTGGTTTGTATTTAATTAACAGTTATTTCTAACATGAAGGAAACATTTTTTTTCCTTAGCTATAGAAGGTTTCTCTTCTATGGATATTAATTTTTAGTTCATAATTAAGACCAATTTATGCTGCCATTCACTTACTAAGCTGTCATCAATTGTGATGTCATGATTCAAAAATACACTTGGAAAGAAAATCAATGTTGTGTACCTGCGTTCCTATCTACTGACATCTGAAAAATATAATACAGTGCCCAGAATTTTGAAAATAGAGAAAGCATAATGAATTTGGCTTAGGAAATGACAGATTGCTACATCCATCTTCAAATCTAGAAATGTTCCATGCATCCACTTAGTGAATACTTAGCAAATAAAATATAATTCTAGCCCTATGCTCACATTAATCTGTTACAGTCTTATGTCCATTTATAACTTACCTGGATAAGGTAATATGATAATAAATATGTTTTATTTGCTGGGTGTTTTGAATTTCTTGTCTTCCTGTTATTCTTCTTTCATTGAAGCAAAGCCTCATTGGGTTCAACTGATAAAGGATATGGAAATAGCTGTGGAAGACAATCTTTATTGGGAGTGCCGTGCGAGTGGCAAGCCCAAACCCTCCTACCGATGGTTAAAAAATGGAGAAGCCCTGGTGCTAGAGGTAAGAAAATGCACCTGCTTAACCCCCCTCTCTTCCCACTTAGTGTTAAGTAAATGCTTTGTTTAGTGCCTGGTACCAAACTATTGAGCTTGCATGCTTTCATTTACATCTAAGGAATGGTGCAGGGGGAAAAGTATAAAATCAAGTACCCAGTCTCCCAATGAGGGGATCTTTTCAGCATTGCATTTCATTGGCAAAAGGTGATTGTGGGCAAAAGAACATACTATGTGTTTCCGAATTAAAATTAGAGAAGGTCTTACTTTAATCAAACATAGAATATAATTTAGTTTTTCTGTTGACAACTTGGTGTGGCCTCAGGAGAATAAATATATGTATTACTTGGTTACCTTGTTATGTAAGTATTTATTTTCCCCATCATTTCTCTTCTCAAGCAGTGTGATTTTTGCCCTTTCTTTGTGTACTGCCAATTATGTTCTTTCAAATTTCTGTACATAACCTTTCATACTACTAAAAATCCTAGTAAGTAAGTATGTTTCCCAGAACCCTTTTTAGTGCACAGAATTCATAATGTTTTTAACTTGCCAGATTTGGAAAAAAAATAGTGAAATACTTTCCAATGGATGAGATAGAAATCAACCTCATGCTACCGTTTTTTAAAGTCTGAAACTTTGACCTTAGGGAAAGAAAATGAAATGGTCTCCCTATTTTACCTCTTGCTTTGCTGTTTATGTTACTGGTACACTTTTGGACTGAAGAATGTTTATCCATACTCCCAGTGTGTGGCTACTATGTTAAATTAGCCTTTCACATCTCAAATAAGGAAAGGGTTAAATTTTAGGTCAGGCTACCTAATACTCTGAGCAAAATGCAGAAGGTTTGGTATGATGGAAATCATAGTCAATGGTATTCATTTTTCTTCTAAAATGGTATAATTGTTTTTATGCAAGACATTTTTGTTGTCATCTAGGAGAGAATACAGATAGAAAATGGTGCCCTTACGATATCAAACCTAAGTGTGAGTGATTCTGGTATGTTCCAGTGCATAGCAGAAAACAAACATGGCCTCGTCTACTCTAGTGCTGAGCTCAAGGTTGTTGGTAAGATTAACTTTCTCTGTTCTCTTACTTTTTTTTTTTCCCCTTTAAATCCCCCAGTGTTGCTAGAAGCAGAAATACTTACTTTTCATATTAGATTCCCCTACTGTATTATAGCATGATCATTCAGAGTTTCTAATTAAGGTGTACATTTTAACAATTTCTGAAAAACACCCAGCGATTATAGCCAGAAGAAATAAAGCCCAAAGGTAGAAATAAATCAACAGTAGAAAAAAAAAAAAAAGTGTTGAACCAAAATATCCTTATCCAACTCCAATAGGCATTGATATCAACTAAACAATGCCTTGTGAAAGAATAATTGGTTTTAATATTCTTTCTTGCTGGTCCAAAAAATTAAATAAATAATACACAAATACCAAAATTTCAATCAATCATATTTAATTAAAAAGAAGTTACTCTTGTCCTCAGTAACCCTGATAGAAGCACTACTCATTGGACACACTGAAGCCTGAATTAACCAAGACTCTACTGCTTGAAATTTTAAATTATTTTCTTCTTCTTCTTGCACTTTAGGTGTAGGAGAAAAAAGAAAATGTTCCATCATGTTTAGAGCAACTGTCTAGAAGGGCACTTAAGTTGCAAATAACTAAAAATCCAACCAAAGTGCTATAGCATGGCATAACATAAAAACGAAGGAATTCATTGATTGAGGAAAATTAAAATTAAAATGGAGAATTTGGATTTCAGCATAACTTGAACCAGGGCTCAAATATCACACCATCATCAGGCTCTATTTATATGAGGCTCTGATATTTCTTGACACGATGAGTTTATTACCACTGTCAGTCCAGTGGAAGAAAGATGTCTTTCTTAATTGCTCAAATGGAAGTCTCAGTCTTGCATGTCATTGGCCCCATGTAGCCTGATTTGTGTGAGTACCTATTGCTAGTCCAATCCATATGGCCAGCAAGTTGTAAGGCCTTACTTGATTTAATTCAGTAAACTGGAGGGAATTTTTGACCCAGGGAATATTGGGAGATATCTAGAGATATTTTTTGTTGTTACAACTGGGCTTGGCAGGGAGGAAGGGTACCTGTGTGTGATATTAGCATCTGGTGGGTAGAGGCCAGAAAGGCATCTAAATATCCTACAATGCACAAAACAGCCTCTCACAACTAATAATTATCCAACCCCGATATCAAGTGTCAAGAGGTTGAGAAACCTCCCCGGTTTAATGGAAACTAGGATTCTCATCTCTGGTGCCTGGAAGTTAGAAATGAATCCTCTACACCAGCAGGGCTGATGCCTGGGGTAAAGCTTCAGCTGCACATCTGGCTATTGTTACCCATGTCAGAGTAGCATATTCTGACAAAGGATGGGGGGTATGCATGTAAGTCTTAAGTTGAAACACTGTAGGACCCTTGTGGGAAATTAACCTGATGAGCTGTAGTTTATTCATGTTTAAAATGGATGCATTCCTACCTAAAGTCCTGCGTGGGGTTGTGGTAGGAAAAATTATGAGATATGGAAAAAATATATATTTTATGTAAATATTCACAAGTTTTTTGTTTTAGTAAAAATGTTTCTTTCAAGATTTCAATTTTTAAGAGCAACAACCTCTGGAAAATATGTCTTCTTTACCACGGTCATATATATAATCCTGTAATATCATGCACTTTAAGATCTCCACTAATCAAAAAAATAAACTATATTCACTAGGATTTGCCATTAGACACAGCTTTAGATATTTGGGAAATGTACTAGGTTCTTTCCCTTTTTTTCCACAGTTGTAGTGAAAGGAAGAGTGATTTTCTGATTAACATATCATTTCATTCAAGTGGTACATTATTATGTATCTGGAATTTTCAGATGTGGTTTCAGGATTGACATCCCATGCATTATCAGCAAACATAATGTTTACTACATTTTATAACATTTAATGTAATATTATAACACTTAATGTAATATGCACATTATATTACTTTTCCCTCGCTTGGAAATTCAGACTCACAATACGAAAATTGTGTAATAGAACTTAATACATTTTATGGATGTGAATATTAATTTAATACTCATCCTCCATTCTAAGAGCATTTGCTCAGCCCCTGTTGAATACCAGGCACTGCACCAAGTGCTGGGACCTAGAGGTCAACAAGAGAGACCAACCTTATCCCTGTGTTCATGAAAACAACTTTAAAAAACATTCTATGCTATATGTTTTCCTTCTGTTTAATAAACTCCTGATTGAAAGCTACTTTAAATTTTCACAGTAAGCTAAAAATTCCTGTGTAAAGTAATTATCTCATGATTTAGAACCTCCCTGAAACCACAGTGGCATGAGTTACTTTTTTAGCATTGCAATCCCGTGTGTGGCATACAGTAAACTGAGTAAATCAAGCACTGACACCTTGTGTGTAAAGCAAACTTTAGAAAAGGTTATAAAGCCGACCTTTGCAATTTACAGGATGTTTTTAAGTGATCCATTAATCATCCTTTCTCGTCTTTCTTCCTTTTCAGCCTCTGCCCCAGATTTTTCAAAGAATCCAATGAAGAAGTTGGTTCAGGTGCAGGTGGGCAGCCTGGTGAGCTTGGATTGTAAACCCAGAGCCTCCCCAAGGGCACTGTCTTCCTGGAAGAAAGGAGATGCGGTGGTGCAGGAGCGAGAAAGGTATTCTATCCTCCACAAAGGCGATCTGGTACTTTCTTTTCACTCTCGGTGCTAATGTCCTGGTAGGTTTTCCATATGCAATGAAACGAAGTAGCGTTTCATTAGTAGGTGAGCTCTTTAAGAATCCAAATAGTAGTTTCGTTTTGTGATACTCTCACTATGATAGTAATCAATTTTTGAAATCAAGACATTTTAGAGGTATACCTACCTAACTTTTTCCCACATAGAATACTTTCTTTTAGCAAGGATTTTGATCCTCAATGCCCTGGCAAGGTGCAACCAGAACAATAAAGAAATGTCAGGACTAGATGCAGGCCACAGGACAAAGAAGAGAAGATGATATATAATGACAGCACATGCCAAAGAAATACCGGTATTGCTATTACCTACCCTATGCTGAAATCATTTGGCATTACTGGTTTATGCCAAGTTTATGCCGAGACTCTCCTGGTCTTCTGGTTATTATGATAAAATGGAAATGAAGAAGCAGAACCGGGTTTAGTTAAAAGCACAGATTCTAAAGCTACAGTGCCTGAGTTCAAATCTTCATTTTGCCTTTTACTTGCTCAATGGAGTGACCTAATCTTGCTGTGCCTCATTTCTTCCTCTGTTAGTGACATGATAATAATAGTCCATGCCTAATGGTTAAGAGGATTATTGTATGGATGAAATACATAAATTATTAATAAAGCCCTTAGATCCATGCCTGCTAGAGACTAAGCATAAGTGTTGGCTATCATTACTATTTATTTATTGTAATTTATTATGAATATTTATTGAGTATGTGTTGCAAGGTATTATGCTCAGAGCTTGTGATAAACGAAATAACAGCCCCAAAGGGTCGATGCCTTTATCCTCAAAACCTTTGACTATGTTACATTACATGGCAAAAGGTAATTAAAGTTGAAGTTGGAATTAAGGCTGCTAATCAGTTGACTTTAAAACACGGTGATCATCCTGGATTACCTAGAGGGACCTAAAGTAATCACCTGAACCCTTGAAAGAAGAAGAGGAAAGCAGGACATCTGACCTCAAGAACTATAAAAGAATAAATTCACACGCTTGGTTTGTGGCAATTTGTTATAACAGCAATAGGACGTTTAATACAGAGCACTGTGTGAATTCTTTCCTTCAGATATCTCTGCAACTAATGAGAAAAATTTAGAGGGATTATGTAATTTGCCTAAAGTCACTTAGGCAGGATTTGAATTCATGACTGTTTGACTCTAGGACATAGCTACTAAGTAAGCTTCATGAGTGCCACATTTCCTATAAGGAGCCCCAAATCTTAGAGATGGTCTTAGCTTTTGAAGTCATGAAATCCAAATCATTGCTTTTGGAAAAGAGAGGAAAAAAAAAAAAACAAGAAAACCTTAGGCCAAGGAATGCGGATTTGCTTTTCTAAAATCTCAAAGTCATATTGCACACAGCCATGATAAAGTGCTTTAAATTATAGTTCCAAAGATGCTTTTATGTGAGTTGGTTAAGACAAGGCAATCTGCAATCCCTCCAGTATTTAACAGGAAACATCTTCATTTAAAGGCAGGTACGGCAGGATAACAGAGCAGAACTGTGAACTGAGTGGTTACACACAATCCAGCCAAATTCTGGTCCTCACAGAATAGATTTCTGGAACTGGAGGTTCATTAGTAATTGGAGTTTGATTTTGTAAGCCAGTTTAAACAAGTATAGATTCGTAGCACAGACTAGTTAATTTTGGCAATGCTGGGAGTTAAGTTTTCCTGCTGAACTGCTGACTTTTTTTGTGATCAAAAAATAATTTAAGTAGTTTTAATTATATACATAAATAAATAGTGATTATTTCCCAAGGATTTCAATGCTTTGCACAATAGTAAACCCGTTCGTCCTCACAGTAGTGCCTACAGTAGGCAGAGGTTTTTTTAATCTTAATTTTAAAGAGAGGATAAAAAGATTAAGAGATTTAGCTAAAGGCACACAAAGAGAGGTTTACCCACTCATTTTGCAGTGATGATGCAGGGAAGTGTTTGGGGTGTTTTTTTTTTGAGACAGAGTCGCACTTTGTTGCCCAGGCTAGAGTTAGTGCCGTGGCATCAGCCTAGCTCACAGCAACCTCAATCTCCTGGGCTCAAGCGATCCTCCTGCCTCAGCCTCCCAGGTAGCTGGGACTACAGGCATGCGCCACCATGCCTGGCGAATTTTTTCTCTATATATTAGTTGGCCAGTTAGTTTTATTTCTATTTTTAGTAGAGACGGGGTCTCGCTCTTGGTCAGGCTGGTCTTGAACTCCTGACCTCGAGCAATCCACCCGCCTCGGCCTCCCAGAGTGAGGGAAGTGCTTAAATTCCAGAATCCACTGAGGATCTCTGACTTGGCCACTTACTCCTTTGGTGTCATTAGGTCAGTTATGTCCTATCTCTGAACCTTAGTTTCCTTGTCCATAAAATAGAGACAATAATTCCATTCCTTACATAGTTGCTATAAAAAAAGAAAAAAGAAAATATACTGCCAGATATTTGTTGATATACTGATCAGTAAGAATGAGGTCATATTGCACATAAAATGTTGAAAGTAAAAGTTCAATATTTGTACCCCTATAATATGAGGAAAGAAAAAAAAAGTAGTTGTAACAAACAGTATATGATCTGAAAAACCTAAAATATTTACTATCTGACTGATTACAAAAAAAAAAAATTATGTCAACCCTTTGGAAAAAAGAAAAAGTGGCTGCAAAAGAAGGTTTTTACTTGTTGGTTGGGCATTCATTGGTTGCTTCGTCACTCTGAAGGGGGGTATTTGAGGCTACCTGAATTCCACAGTCCTTAAGGATGAGGCCTCTGCTATCCTGCTGCCCACAGACACCCTCACTTCCTGAACTCAATGGAGGCATGAGCCTCAGCCTCTTAGCGAACTCCCAGGCAACAGCAAGAAGGAAGGTAGACATAGAGATACGCTTCCTCCCTTTTAAGCGACTTCTCAGAAAACCCACACAAAATTTTCCCTTACACCTTACTGATCAGACAGTAGTTCTCTGGCCACACTATCCTGCAAGAAAAGGCTGGGAAATAGAATGTTTTTTCTAGATGAAAATATCACCCAAGGAAAAATTGGGAGTCTGTGTTTAAAGGAGAGAGAGGGAAAATGGTTGCTACTCCAATAGTGTCTCATGACAATAAAAGTTAGTTCTCCGCCCCTTTCAGACCTACTGACCCTCTACTATTGTATATTACATTTCTAACATCTCACCTATGGATTAACACAGTAACTGTCAGATATGAAGACGTGGTTATAAAGAGGGAATATATTTGAGAACAAGGGTACACAGTGCTGCAGTCCTTCCTAGATCTGTGGTTTGCTTTTATCTCTTTGGACAGGAAAAATACTGATGAGCCAGAGTCTTGAAGCTTAGGGAGAAGGCTGCTAGAGGCAATTATTGAACAAGTTGCAGGCTTGAGTCTTCTCCAAGTTCATGGTAAATTGAAGTGTGCTGCAGCCATCACTTGGCAATGGAAGCTCTATAGCTGTCCCTCTTGGGTTGGTCTGCAGGCTTTAGCCAAATCAGGGAAACATGTTAAATCTTAATAGTAGGTTTATTGTGTTTCTTTGATCATGGATTGTTCCAACCTGAAAAATGAAGATTCAGTCTCATTTGGGGGGACAAATGAATTCATTGATGCCTTTGAGGATAGAAGACAAAAATTTTTGAGAAAGTATTTATGACAAGATTTGAAATCTATTTGATATTTTTGTGTGTTCGTTTCGTTAGGTGAATTTGGGCTTCTCAGTGAATTAAAAACTTACGATAAATAGAGAAATTTTCTGTAGCCAAGCATAGGGGCTATTGGTAGCAAATACATTTTGATTGCATCAATATTCTGTTATATATCCTATCATTTGAGGCTTAAATCAGAAAAAAAATAATGAAAGGATTAAATATGTCTTTTTAAGAATCATATAAATTAATATGGCTACTATGTAAACCATATAATACATTTAAATGATTGTAATCTCCTTGGTTTATAGAAGTTTTTGTATCAGCGCGATAACAGCTTTGCAATTATGAACCAGCCATAGTAACATGGATCTAAGTCAGTGAGACAACTAAATTACAGAGTAGTTTTGAAGAAATGAGGGTTGCTGCTTTAAAGTACTGAGAGCATTTCAAGCTAAGGTAGTGAATGGACTACTGCCAACAGAGGTCTTAAAAACGCTGTTCTGAATAGATGGTGAGGGCTTATTGCACAAACAGTGATTCCTGGGCTCTGAAAATTAAGTTCTCATTCATTCATTTGAAAATACTTTGGGTACCTACTAGCTGCTAGGCACTAGGTATTTTTTTTTTTTTACTAGAGAAGCCCATCCCATTCTTTATAGTTTTTCAGGGTGTACAGACAGGTAACATAGGGCAGGTACAATAAAACTGAATGACAAAGTACAAGGTGTTCAGGAATCACTTGAGAAGGCTCCATCTCCAAATTGAGGCTCAGAGCAGGCTTTCTGGATAGTGGAATGTCTGTAGCAAGACTGTAGAGAGATAACCAAGGATTTCCCTGGAGGAGAATGCTCAAAGCAGAAGGAACAAAATGTGCAAAGGCACGGAGGCAAAGCATGGCATGGGTGTTGTGTGAGTCTCTTCTGGCTGCTACAACAAAATTCCACAGACTGGGCAATTTATTTTTATGTTTATTTTTTTTCATTTTAGCGTATTATGGGGGTACAAGTGTTAAGGTTATATATATTGCCCATGCCCCCCACCCTCCTTGAGTAAGAGCTTCAAGCATGTCCATCCCCCAAACATTGCACATCTCACTCATTGTGGTTGTATATACCCATCCCCTCCTCCCCCCTCCCACCCTCTGGACACCCGATAAATGTTACTCCTCTATGTCCACTTAGGTGTTGATCTGTTAATACCAGTTTGCTGGTGAGTACATGTGGTGCCTGTTTTTCCACTCTTGAGATACTTCACTTAGTAGAATGGGTTCCAGCTCTATCCAGGAATATACAAGAGGTGCTACATC